AGTCTTTAGTCGTGTTTCTATGTGCTTGTCTTAACTTTGTGATGGGCTCCAGCCTTCCATTAGCATACAGATAGCATATCTTTGTTTTGCTCTTTGAGAAAATACGGTTTTAATGGGTCTTTACAGCAGATGAAATCTGAAGGTGGGCGAGTAGTTATTTATTTTCCTCTTGAGTGCCACCAGCACACTTTCAGGGGACGGGTGCTCAAACACCATTAGACCTCCGTGGGGGGGGAGTGGGAGGGGTCTTTGCCATGGGAGATATAGATTAAGTTTCAGGTTGGCCGAGCAGAAACCGTAATGATTCTCACTCTCTGCCCTTGAAATTACCTTCTCATCGCGGATTGATACACACAGTCGTTTTTTTTTGTCTTTTTTTCCCTCCTTTCTAACTCACCTGTTTTTCAATCGCAAATTTGAATAATGGCGAATGCTTTAACACTCAGAGTGAGTGCATCATTTCAGGTTAAAACCCCCGGTGGTCTTTTATACCCTTTCACACTCTGTCAAAGCCCACACATTTAGGCAGCAGAAACGGGATGCGGTTTCTGCTTTTGTTTCTCCCTAACTCGATGAGTGACTCTGAACCAGCCTCAAAAATTCCCCACAGAAGATGTCAAAACAGATTAGCTTCTCTTAAATCCACTCCCCAGATTAAATGATTGTACAAATCAAACTGGCTTTGAGGCTTTGCATAATTTATTTATTTTTTTCTCTCCGTTTAGAAATTCTGTCTTTGACGTTTTACTTCTGTGTTGTGTTTGAGCCTTGACAGACTATTAGTCCATAAATCAATGGAGATGATGTATGAGGCACCCGGTGCTGGGGGGGTATAAACCTTTTTGTTTTCTATGATATATGACCATGTATCGTGGTGGATAAATTACAGTTTCACTAACTCCTTTTCATGTATGAGCAGAGTGTAGCATTCAGTTCATCAGTAACATGCCACATGTTGATTATCATTTAAAAACATTAAAAAAAAACAACGCAATTGATGTAATACTCAGGAAATTAAGATTGAGTATCTTGAATTGAATATGTTTGATCATAATTTATCTTGTACAATATGTTGAACACATGCAGTGCCAAAGATGAGTTTACAAACGTACTCATGAATCTTATGTTGATTTTGGACTATTAATATTCAGAAGTGTTTGGAGGTTGTTGGGTTTTTTGTTTGTTTGTTTTGTTTCCATGTGAAATGATTATACAATAAAAAAACCCCAAAAATATGGCTTTTTATGAACTCACAGATTTTCAAAAAGATACATACTGGCTCACATGTAGATAATATAGAGAATAGATAATAATGCTTGATTATTTCCTGAGGGAAGTTCAAATTCAAAAATACTTTATTGATCCCAAAGACAAAGACAGACTAACTGTACCCAACAGGTAGGGGAATGAAACCTGAAACCTGAATATATTTTGGTGATATTCATAAATACAGACCAAAACTGAGTTTGGAACCATTTAAAATGGCTAACATGTAGTTTGTGGAAAGACCTGGACCTCGTTGATTTGTCTATACCAAATGATTTTTGTGATCAAGAGACTATTTAATGTTTTTGTTTGTTTGTTTGTTTTGTTCTACTCTGTGTTAAAGTAGTACATAAGGCCCTGTGTATTCCATTTTCTGTATTAAATTCCCTGATTCATCTGCATTTTCCAAATCTCAGAAATCCTAGGGTCCAAACTACACCACTTACGGTGACTGTAATAGAAACATCTGAAGCATTATTATTGTTGGCAATAGGTACATTTTTCTGTACTGACACATTTTTAAATCTTTAAGGATCCAGATGAAGGAATAATAAATGTTTCGTAATCTTTAGGTAACATTTCGGATGCTCATGGGTCATACTGACAAGACTCAGACTACCAAAATAAAAAGGCTCACCTTGTTGTCAGTGAAGCAGCAGATTTCCCAAATTGCCTTTTTTTTCCCCCTTTCCTGCTCTTGTGCTTTGATCAGTTCCTCTTTCAGGACACAATAGATGTGGGAATAGTCTTTCATATGGAGCTGCCGCATGCCTAAGGTCTTGCTCAGCTTAGTCTGTCGATATGTTTCGCAATAAAGACATCTTTCACTTTATTAAGGTCGATCCGGAAGAAAAGGGATTTAAAGTTTCTCCTCCCGTGAGGTTTCGTCATGCTTTTAGAGGAAGAATGGCAATTCTAAAAGAAAAGGTAAAAGCAAAATTTCACCAGAACGTAAATAAACATTATTCAAGCGAGGTATTTGTCATCTTCTTTGAGCAGACATATTTAATAAATTACAATATTTTTAATATTTGTTCTGCTCTATCACCAAGTGAAGCACATTATCACACACAGACAGATTTTCCATTTATAGTTAACAAAAAAAAAGACATTTAAAATGAGAGAATTACAAAAGACCAATAAAAAAACACATTTTAAAATGTATCCTTAATGACCAGTTTGTTTAATACCTGGTTAAGAGGTTGCAAATATATATATATATATATATATATATATATATATATATATATATATATATATATATATATATATATATATATATATATTTCTGACAAAATATCCTCATCTGAACAGTTATTCTAACTTACTGAACATGGCTGTAATAGTAAGATTATCATTTATGAAATGATCTGATGACATCTGAATGGATGATCTGTACCACAGGTGGCAACTTTCGTGAAGAAAGCTGCAAATGAGAAAACATTGGAATTCTAAATAGGTTTCCTCCAAACCCATTTGCAAGTTCCATGTTGTTAAAATATAAAGTAGGACCAAAGAAAAGGGAAAAAAAAAATTCATTAGGGAAGCAGCCTCCCTTTCCATGAATATATCTGCTTCCATCGCCTAAAAGTCAAATCTTGTCTGATGTAATTTTTCAGCTTTCAGAGAAAGTTTTCAAACTGTCAAGAAAAGCTGTGCTGCGAGGAAGGTAAAAAATAAACCTGGAGCGAACCACCGCAGGGACTGGAGACTGCAGAGCTTAGTGCTTTCAAGGTCTTAAAATCCCCCCAAAAATACAAAAAGAAAAACCATGTGTAACATCATAATCAATGTCTGTACATAAAACGCAGTGAGGCACATTGTGGAACAAAAACGCTCAATAAAACCCAGATCTTTGTCAGTGATTATATTTATTGGATTTCTTGCCACTTGTGGCCACCTGCTCTCATGTCTGCACCCTTTCCTGCTACTGCTTTGTCGTTGAAGTTCTCAAATACTTTCATGAAATGACCTCATTTCGACAAGTCTGTGGGTTTCTCTGGCTGTGGTGCTGCTCCCACAACAAACAGCTAGCAGCAGCAAACCCTGTTTTACTTTTAATTATGAGATGCTACCAGTGACATTCACAGTCTCTGCCCAAAATGATCTCAAAACATCCTTTTGCTCATGCAGACTGTATGAAGCCAGCACAACTCTGAAGACAAACTGTAGTAAGTAGTGCATTTTCTATTGGATTTAACTTGAAGTACTTATGAGCGTTATACAAATGGAACTTTATCATGATAAAGTGGTTCACAGATTCAAAGAGTGGATGGTATTGTCTAGCACTCTGCAAAATTGGCTTTAAACCGTGTCAAATTTTGATTAAAAATCTGAGTGAAGAAAGATTACATTTGGAGTACCTCAAGGCTCCCTTTTCGAGCCACTTTGACTCAATATCAATACGCAATCCTGGTTTGTATACGTATGCTGATGACACACACAATTATGTTTACATGCCATTATGAGACCACAGCACCTTAAAGTTGCTGCATTTTTCTCCAGAATAATTTTAAAAGTGAGATCAAAATCTAACAATTGATAGATTTTGGCCTCACGTTTGTGAGGTTAGAGGTCAGCACCTAACTGGCAGAGATCTAGGTCAAAACAGGATGCGCAAAATTAGAAGTTGACTTTATTTAGTGTGATGGTTTCTTGACTGATCTCTGCAAAAAGTGTACATACAGCCACATCTGCGTTATAATGCTTCTTCATCAACACTGAGCCGCACCAAGACAATGGATCATATTACATCAGTTTTTTTGCTAACTGTTTTTGCTATGAAAGATTTGTTTTGAAAGGTTGCAATGGTTCTACAAGGTACAGTTTTTGTTAACAGAAATAGGTAAAAATGTCTCCTGATATGTGTGAGAACCTGGTGACCAGCCACCATGTCATGTTTTGCTAACACGTCTCGAACCGAAACAATTTCTACCACGAGAATCATTAAAGCCACTCACTTTGCCGTCTCCTCCGTTCAACCTATCACAAATTCGTCTCATTAAAATGTAAAAAGTTTGCAGCCAGTTTCCTTCCCCTGCAGTTTGCCAGGATGCAGATATTTTGTTCTCTCTGCTTGAGTCGAAATCACGAGTTGTCACAGCTCCCATCACTCGGTGAAGCTCAGGAAGAAGAAAAAATAAAAAAATAGCTTATCCTTTCTTTGGAAAAGCTGACTTTGACCATTTTTATTATTTATGCTTAAGTTTCTACTGATACTTTTTTTAACCTAATGGAGTGCAGAAAGAAAGGAAAAATCACTGTTTGGTAATCTTTATGCGACTTCATGCCTTCTGATTCTCTTTATATTGAATAGGCAAATTATTATTTCAGTATTGAATTGGTGCCCTCCGAGATTGTCTTCACAATACAAACACGGCCTGCACACCCTGACAGTTTGACACTTTAATTTTCAACAAAATGTTTCACCTGAACTTCCCTGATAAAGTGAAAGAAATTGCCCTCATAAATATATTTATACTGTGTTGGAAAACACTGCATGCTTCCTCCTCCATCCTACAGGTTGGTGCTCCAGAGCGCTATCTGCAAAATAGAGCCACTGCAGTGACGGTGTCTTTTCTGAGTCTGTCTGTCTGATGAATAAAACACCTTACAGCCTGACTTGTTAGCTGGCCTTAACTCTCCTCTAAAGTTTCTACAGTTATACTTAATGTGTGTTCACTGTGATTCCTTGGCCGTTAAATCCGATTCTGAGGCCTCTTCTCTTTTCCTAGGTTTGGAAGGGGCAAGAAGGACGAGGACAAGGTGGAGAGAAAGAGCTCAAGGAGATCGAAAGCTGAAGATACGCAAGCGTATGAAGATGACACCATCCAAATGAAGCAGGAACAGGAAAGGTAAGCGCAGATTCTGAACTAGCTAATGGCTCAAAAAATGATACCTGAAGAGTTTACTCAAATAAGTGTAAACCTCATTACCCGAAACTGCTGTTTAATTACTGAGATTATCTCATAGCTAACAATTCCCTTGTTGTTGAGTTATAAAAGTGTGGATTTCAGTCCATAAGGTAAGTTAAGGTGACCATGTGTCCATAGCCAGGGTGATCCTCTCTATATAGGCATGAACATGTTGGCCATGAGCGCGCAGGATCTGTGGTCGACGTTCTGATGATGTCATTTTGAGTGTGCACCCTCGATCGACCAGTTTTTTTCTGAAATCTCTAGGCATATTTGTCCGTTGCTGATTGCCCTGTCCAGTTCATGTTATGTGCACTCTTTTGCCAAAAATGTACAAAAAGGTTTTGACCTTGAGGTCAAACCCTTTTATTGACCTGCATCTTGCAAGCTACCACAAGATGGCATCTCGTTGTAGAGTCTTGTCAAGTTCCTTAAGTTATCTCCTGTCTTCTGGTGAGGAGAATGTGATGACAGAAAAGTCATGAAAAATGGTAACATGATTGAATGAAACACGACGCCCCTACGTGTCACACTGTATGCTTCGGAAAGACAGTCAACCCTCTTTATTCAAGAGAAACGTCAGGTTTTTAAGAAAATGGCCGCACATAGATTAATCGTTTGTTGATCGATAAAATCAATCAACTTCTATTGATCCCTGTTAGGGATCGTGGATCAGTTTCAGTATCTGAAAATACTTGAAGAAGTCAGATTGTCATATGTAGAAGAGGAAAAGGCCCTGGCAATCTGAAACACACCACCTTGTTTCCAGATGTATAAGACTGACATTTTGCAGTGGGCATAACAATCTTTAGATGTTGAAATATTTTGGGTTTACTTGAAAAAAAAAATGCTGTTTCTGCAGCACAAACCAAGAAACTCAGAGGAATCCTGGAATGTGAGTTGGAATACCTATTCACAAGAACCAGGAGTTGACTCCATGAAAAACAGATGTGGAGCAGTTCTCAGAAACTGCTGCTTATAAAACTGAACATTAGAGATTCACACAAAAAGCTAAATATTCAGACATTCTCAGGTTTGTTCAGAAATGGTTGAAACTTGCAATGCTGACATTGCTATATTTTATTTTCCAACAGTGCGAATTAATTTTTTCTCGCTTTCTGTGACTCAATAACAAAAGTGCATTTTTTATCTGTTCCAGTGTTTCAGCTCAGAGTGCTGTTATTTAAAACACAGTTCTACATTCTTATGCTCGACAGGCGTGGACAGTTTGCCAATATTCAAAATGTGTCTTTCCATTTCAGTGGCACATTGAATGAATAACTTATGGATTCTAGTGGCCCGTGCCAATCCCAGCTCTTAGTGTCAGTCCTGTGGATTCAGTCTTATTGTTTGGTGATTAACTAACAACCATCAACGAAGGTTGTTAGTCTTCAAAGAACACACTGTGTCTCTTGATCCCAACCTCGCAGTTTAGTGACTTTTGATCGCATTGTGGACGTCGGGATGTGGAAAAGAGTCGGGCGTCGCATCAACCTCGCTGCCATGACCTCGCTCCTCACCCACATGAAACTCGCGCCAGTGAGGAAGACGGCATCGGTGGCAGAATGAATGAAAAGGCAGCTCGCCGCCTCCGTCGTTCTCCACCAGCCAAATGAACTCAGTAATCAAACCACCGTTGGTAATGACGGCTAATTGAATAGAAACAATGGAGCTTGATAGCGCGCCCTCTTACAGCGAAGGAAGAAAAGGATGGATGGTTGTTGAGAAAGTAATGCGCAGACACACACCCACTCAGGCGCGCACACACACACACACACGGGAGAGAGAGACCGAACTGTCACAAAGCCTGTCTTTCCTGCTGAATGGAACATCTGGAGGTTTTACTCAAATAACTGCACCACATCGTGGTATTGAACTGTGATTTGCAGTGAAGGTCCGATCCATTCAGACTGGGAACCTCTCTGGCTGTGGGCCTGGACTGTTTCTTTCTGTGAGCTTTGGAAACCAGCAGGCCTGTTTTTTTTTTTTCCCCCATCCAGACCCATCTCCTTTTGAACGGCTCCCAAACAGCAAGAATCAATACAAAAACACAGTGGGCATGAGATAATGTTCGGTGCCATGGACAAGTTTTTATGCCTATTGAACCTTTTTTTTTTTTTTTTACATTCTGTTAACCTCAAACCCTTATTTGGATTAAATGTGACAGAACAGCACAAAGCAGCTCATGATTGTGAAGTGGGAGGAAAATGATGGTCTTTACAGCTGAAGCCTCCGTTTATTTTCACCTCTCTGTACGCCGATGCTCATACTTTGCATCCGCTCTTTTAGAGCGGAGTAACCTATCTACTAAATGCAGTCCTCCCCTTCTTAAAATGTAAATTCACAGTACAAACCTATCAGGACAGTGCTGACCACTTAAACTGAAAGGCTTAATGGAATAAACATAAATCATAGAAGAAGCCAGGAGGCCCATAGCATCGCCGAGGTAGCAGCAGAGACCCACTATGAAATCTGTTGAGAAAACATCATCAGTTGTGCACATTTAATGGAATTGAAGGACAAGAAAGCTGTTGGGGAAAAAAAAAATCATAACAGCTTTTATTAGCAATTTTCTTCAAGTCATCCAGGGATTGTGAATAAGAGGTGGAAGAAAGTTCTCCATCCAGACGAGGAAATTAAAAAAAAAAATTTTTGGCTTACTGCTAAGTTGAACACACCATCCCCACTCTGAAGCATGGTGGTGGCTGCCTTTAGACCTAATTTTTTTTTCAGCAGGAACTGAGAATTTGGGCAGAGCTGATGGAACTAAACACAGGGAAACCCTGAAAGATTTGCTAAAGCAGGGATGTCCAAAGTGAGGCATGTGGGCCAAATGCGTCACAAAGATTACTTTGCTGCCGCATGGGATTTTTAATCAATAATGGTAAAATGTGGGCCTCCAGTAAAATTGCTTGATTAAGGTTTTCGCCGACAAGAATGGTAAATAAATACTCCTAAGATTAAAATAAAAGGAGCCTTTGGTTGAATTTGATAAATAGAACTAAATACATTTAGTGGCTTTTACTTTTACTAACGAGACCTTAGTACCTCCACTATTGTTGTTTTCAAAGAAATGGTGAGGTAACAGTCCTTCTTGTAGGCCATACACCCAAAATAAATTTTTTGGCAAAGAAAATGGACAAAAGACTCTATGCAATTGTTGAAGATGAAATCCTTCAGACGAGCACTCATCTGCGTGATAAAAGTCCTGACCGGCAATAGAGGCAAACCTTGGAAGTTTATGTTCAGACACTCCAGCTTATCTGACCTTTAAATTGTTTTGTAAAGAAAATGTCGAACAATTTCAATTTCTAGATGTACAAAACTGGTACAAAAACACGCCAACATAGTCTATGTTAAGTTAGTAACACCAAATATTAACTCAAAAGGTACTAAATTCAAATATTTTTTTCCATTTCACAATTGTCCTTCGTTTTGATTTGGTTTATCCTATAAAATTTCAATAATGTACTCTGGAGCTTGTTTCTGTGATGTGACAAAATGTTCAAAAGTAATGAATACTCCTCAAGGCATTGAATAAATACTGTACCTGTTATATTCTTTGCTTCTCCCACACGTTACTGTTGATTTGTCTTGTCCTGCGTCTCTGAGCTCTTCCCATATTTCTTCTGCAAGGACTGACCCTCTGTTAATGGAAAGGAAATCCTATGGGAAATTGCGGTTTTTAATAATAGACCAACATGCTATAAAGCCAAAGTCCAAAGCTTTAAGGTTTGGCGCCGTGACGGCCCAGACGTCCATTACCAATTGCGTTCTTTGGTGACATCGCCGTTTCGCACTTCTGCTGCAATAAATTTCTCAGTCGTAGTCGTCCACAAGAGTCATTTGAGCTGATTGAGCATTCTTTTTTTTCTTTTTTTTTCTGAAATGGAGACCGGACATTTCTGAGTGCCTTTAAGAAATGATTGAGCTCATCAGTTCAGGCTTATGGCGACGCTGCGCCGGCGCACTACCCACAGCTGTGAACCTAAAGTGTCTGCTCAGCCGACATTAGTGATCATTAATCCGAGCAGACAGTTCTGACAAGGCTTTAAGTGATTAAAAATAGCAGCCAGTGAAGAGGTGAAGCAGATTACTTTATAAAAGGTTTGCTATAATAAGGACGCGATGATCTTATATTTAAAACTTTGACCCTTCTATGATTCTTGTGATTGATGGTTTGGCCTGCGGGGCTCACAGACACAATCCATTTATTTTAGGTGAGGTGTGATCCAAATTAATGTCCTTTCAGTGTCTTCTGAGCTCTAAATGATGGAGATGAGAGTACATAAAACGTTGACATCGCTCCTGGAGCTAAGCTATGTTGTATCACTGGCACAATGAGTGCCTGCCTGCAGAGGTTTAGTCAAATTTGGCAGTTTTTACAAAGCCACTGGGCTTAGTCATTTCATGTCCCATTGAAAAGCATCCTGACCTGCTGAGAGAGCACTACACTGTACCAACAGCTCAATTTAAGGTAGTAGTACAAGGATAGGTTGATTAAGCACAATAGGGGCAGGTTGTAATGTCTAACATTTCAGCTAATAAAGAGTAAAACAATTCATTTTTGCTCTATCTTTGTAGGATTTATGTGAGTGTTTGTGCCAGTATCCATCTGTCGTTGGTCACTCGGGCATAACCCTGACACCCAAAAGACAAATGGCCAAAACAAACCCAAACAGAAAATGTGTTTATGCTATGGGAGGAAGCCGGAGTACCCAGAGAGAAACCACACAAATACAGCAAGAACCTGCCAACAACTGGGGGCCAAAATGGCAACATCTGGTACATTTGCAGCTGGTGTGGTTTGCATTCACACGTCATTGTGGTAAACTGTGTTTATAACCTCGCCTGTGGTGGCGCTGCACCAAGTACTACCAAAAAGAAACAACAAGAGAACCGCAGCAGACGACACAGAGCGCAAAGTCCTTCTTCACAAA